AACATATCCTAAAGCTTCACTACCATTGAATGACAGGTGTGGCAAATGACAGCTGATATGTACAAAGGGTCAAAGTCTCCCAGGTGACACCATTGACCATGTATGGACATGATCATATTTGGTCAATGATGTCCTGAATCCCAGTGATGTTATTGACCAATCATAGTTATGTCCATAACAGACATCTCTGTGTTTTTATTTACTGTTTACATTTTTTCTATGAACTAGTAGGGGTACATGGAGTTACCCATCTCCGGGCCTCCCTTGACAGAATCTCTGCTGTAGCGTGGCTCCTTTCCTCTAGACATGCTTTCTGCAACACTAAGTGGCATTTTTGACTGAGCTGTTGCATAGCCTCCTAAATGCTTGCAGGGGACTGGTGGCTCAGAGGACTACTCACCCAAAGTGGGCATTTAGGAGGGAATGGAGGAGACTACACTGTGGAGGAGACTACACTGTCAGTAGACGTGGAGTAGCTCCAGTGGGCATGTAGGAGGGAATGTGCCCTGTCCTGCATACTTCTTGACTGCTGCATCAGAGTTACATAGTGGGCTGTGAAACATTCATAATGTCTCTGCTGAACTTCCTGGACCACATATCTGTGGTTTGGTAGACCCTCATGCCGCCTACATAGTCCAGCAATGTGGAAACATTACCTTCCACATGATGGAGATCAGGAAAGGCCATACAGGTGAAAGAAATGGCAGCTGGGAACCTGCCTCTGCTGTACAGCACAGGCCACACATTCATAAACGTGGATTGACTCTACCATCTGGAAAGGTAGAACCTGTAAAGCCAGCAATGTTGCCAAGCTGACACTGTGCTGATGATCATGGACTCGGCTGGGCGTATACCTCTTCTTCCATTCCAGCAGCTGGGACAGAGAAGCTTGCCTGCTCAATGATCCAGCTAGAGGTGGCAGAACCAAAGAAAATTTGCAGCCTTCCACTGCCAATACTCTGTGTGGGCCTCTGCTTTTCTGGAAAGGTGGTAAAGTAAACCTCTCACACCTCTAGAAAGACTTTTATTCTTGATGCTGGAGCCTACTGCTGGGAAATCTTGTACAGTGGGGAAGAGGTGGAAAGGGAGGAGATGGACGTAATGGCTAGCCATTGGCTCTCAGGTGCTGCTCCCAATGAGCTGCATGGTGAAAAGCCATCTTCATACACATGGCACCCAAATGACTGGCCATATTGCCATGCTTATTACGTTTTAAGGAGAGGCTGCAAATGACTACAGTGCAGTCTACAACATATGTGTTGAAAAAGGCCCACACAGCTGAGCCTACCAGGGAAAAACAGCACCCTTTACTCATGAGCTCTACTCCTCATTTTCCTTCTGTGCGATATCTAGCACCTAGATACAGTTGGACTCAACCCTCCACCTCTCCCATCAATTTTGCCAAGCTGCAGTACATTAGGCCACTGAGCATGGAGGTGGCTTCCATTCCAGCAGCTGGGCAGAGAAACTTGCCTGCCCAATGCTTTAGCTATAGATTTCAGAACCAGAGCAAAGTTGTGGTTTATGCTTGTCCCTACTCTGTGTGGTCCCCCAGGCTGACCCTCTTCCCCTCTGGAAGAGCCATAAAGTAAACCTCTAACACCCCTATAAATACTTTTATCTCTCTAGACTGTTATATTTGGCACTCAGGTTGTCAGGGCTCTGTCCTCGGCAAATGTGTTAGGAGACCTGGCACCCCTGCCAGTATCTTGCATGGCCGCAGAAGTTCACATCGGCTCAAATTTGGTGCCAAATGGCCTTTATAAGGAAGCCCTGCACTACTCTCAGGTGCTGGTTGATCTTCGGCTTCCCAGTACCTTGTTTCTGTTCCTGTGCTATTGTGATCTGTGATTTCCTGATACCGACTCGACTTGCTCTCTGACCTGTCTTCTCTGCTTAACCCCTGATCTGACCTCGGCTTGGCTAACAGATATTCCCTCTTGCTCCTCTGTGTATGACCTCGGCTATCCCATCTGCATACGTCTGCTCTGATCTCCACCCTGTACCTTACCTTGGCTTTGAACAGGCTATCCTGTGATCCTCTGTTTCCCGGAAGGGCTTGCATACCTCGTACAGGCACCACCTGTCTGCAGACAGTGCATCAGCTGTGCTCCTGGGTGGACCACCAATGAGCACTCCTACAGGCGACCTGTGCCACTTTGGGCCTGACTCCTGCTATCCCACTCTCAGGGGAGTCTGGAACTTAGCCGCAAGGGAAGCCCTCTCTCCATTGGCCTCTAACACCAGGTATGTGACACAGATACAGTTGGAGACCTTCACATCACCCCTCTTCTCATCACTGTACCCAACCAGGCAGTAGCCTGAAGCTGCAGGAACATCTGTTCCAAATGGTCCTCCCTGCCCTTTGCCATCACCTTCTGTTTTCTCATTGTTCTCCTCCTCAACCTCAGATATTGCTGCTAATCCTCTTGCAGCAAGTGACTGTTACTGTGCTCAAATAACTTAGCCAACTGCCTGTTGTGAAGGAGTATGTTCACAATGTGTGTTCAATCACGTGGCTGTTGTAAAATGGAAACCTCCTGACCAGAAAAGGCTGGAGTAATACCAGAAGAGTTCCTCTCACCACTGCGACTCTATTTTTTGCAATCAATGGGTTGGTCAAGATGGTAGAATATCTCAGAGATTGGCATATGGTAACATAATGATCAAAGGCCATAGCCAAGAGGACTGAGGATCACATGATGGAGAAAGAATGGATGAGGAACATCTGAACCAGTCAACCCTTAAAGCAGATCTTTTGGAGGTTGAACCAGAAGATCAGGAAGATTTTGAGAACCACAGCACTGTGCTGGACAAGGTCTACTAACAACAACATGGAAATGAAGAGGTACATGGGCTGGTGGAGGCTCTTCTCCATTTTAATGATAAGCAGAACACTAATATTGGACAGCAAGGTTATTAAAGAGAAGATCGACAATGAAAACCAAAAGCATTTGACCTCATTTGTCCTTTATTAAAACAAAACCCAAAAGATGTGCCACGCCATAAACCCATCATCAATTACTTCATTTTGCAATGCAGATCATCTTCAAACATGATGAACAACGCCAGCTGGTCTATCAAAAAAAAACCCAACATGTCCCTATACTTATGACTGCTTGCCCCAAATGACAGATCCAGGTTTAGAGCTGAATTTTAAACTAAAGACGAAGGGATGGTGGCTGATGTCATTGATCAAATTATGGCCAAGGGCATTGACCAAAAACAGTCAAGAGCATATTTGGTCAGTTGCCATTCCCATTTAGCTTTCAGCTGCTGGGATCTGTCATTTGGTGCGAGCAGTTGTCAGGATTGGACTTGTTGGCGTTAGCATGGTTTTTCTTTTGGCAGGTCAGTGAGTGTTGTTTATCGTAATTGACAACGATCTTCATCGCTGGACCACATGATTGGTAATAGATTTTACTCTTTTTACTCATTCAGGTAGTGAGGGCCAATATCTGGGGTCCCCCTTAACCACCAGGCCAGTGGGCGGCCCTAGTCATCATCGACTTGGTAAAATGTGCTTTGCCAGTGGTGTCCCCCTGGTAAGTTACCCTTTCAATGTTGAGGGTATGTAGCCCAGGAGTTAGGAATGAAGTTCATGTAGGGCATGTAGTTCAGGAGGTAGGAATGAATGCTTGTCCTCCCCTTCCCTGGCCAGCAAGGATGGTTGCTCTGATGAAGGTTAGGTATGAATTTTGTGGGGAAAACAACATCTTCTTTTTGTTTTTGTTTTTTTCATGGGGTACACCCTAAAACACCCTAAATACCATGACTTAGTGATGCAGCCAGAGATTGTAGGTAGATGCCCCTGAAGGTTCCGATTTGGACCTAACTCCAAACATGTGATATTTCCACAATGGGTTTGAACCCAAAGTTCATCCCTAAACATGACCTGAACAAATTTATTTATTTATTATTTATTTATTTATCGAGTTTATATAGCGCCAAAGGGTTTGCTCAGCGCTGTACAATAGAGGGGGGGACAATACATGAAACAGAACAGTAACATCAAACAGTACACGAGGGGTAAGAGGGCCCTACTCTTTCGAGCTTACAATCTAGGAGGGAGGGGGTAGAGGCACAGGAGGAAACGGCTGTGGGGGATGGAGTGGTAGGAGGAGGGAAGGGCAAATGAAAACAAATGAAATTCTCTCCCATCCTGAGACTTTTCTGTTATTCCAAGTTTTAAGACATCCATATAGTACAAATTACAGATCTTGAGCATTTCATAGAGCAAGCCCAAATGGTATATTTCCTTTGAATTACAGATTCTCCATGCAGAATGGTACACATTTAAGACCATGTCCACCACATACACTATATTGCCCCAAGTATTGGGCCACCACCCTTCCCACACACATGACCTTTAATGGCCCCCCAGTCTTAGTCCGTAGGGTTCAATATTGAGTTGGCCCCGCCCTTTGCAGCTATAACCGCTTCAACTCTTCTGGGAAGGCCGTCCACAAGGTTTAGGAGGGTGTCTATGGGAAGGTTGGACCATTCTTCCAGAAGCACATTTGTCAGGTCAGGCACTGATGTCGGGGGAGGAGGCCTGGCTCGCAGTCTCCGCTCTAATTCATCCCAAAGGTGTTCTATGGGGTTGAGGTCAGGACTCTGTGCAGGACAGTCAAGTTCCTCCACCCAAAACTGGCTCCTCCATGTCTTTATGGACCTTGCTTTGTGCACTGGTGCGCAGTCATGTTGGAACAGGAAGGGGCCATCCCCAAACTCCTCCCACAAAGTTGGGAGCGTGAAATTGTCCAAAATGTCTTTGTATGCTGACACCTTAAGAGTTCCCTTCACTGGAACTAGGGGGCCAAGCCCAACCCCTGAAAAACAACCCCACACCTTAATCCCCCTCCACCAAATTTTACACTTGGCACAATGCAGTCAGGCAAGTACCGTTCTCCTGGCAACCGTCAGACCCAGACATGGCCATCAGATTGCCAGACAGAGAAGCGTGATTGGTCACTCCAGAGAACATGTCTCCATTGCTCTAGAGTCCCGTAGCGGCGTGCTTTACACCACGGCATCCGACGCTTTGCATTGCACTTGGTGATGGAAGGCTTGGATGCAGCTGCTCGGCCATGGAAACCCATTCCATGAAGCTCTCTACGCACTGTTGTTGGGCTCATCTGAAGGTCACACCAAGTTTGGAGGTCTTTAGCTATTGACTCTGCAGACAGTTGGTGACTTCTGCGCACTGTGCGCTTCAGCATGCGCTGACCCCGCCCTGTCATGTGACGTGGCCTACCACTTGGTGGCTGAGTGGCTGTTGTTCCCAGTTGCTTCCACTTTGTTATAATCCCACCAACAGTTGAGCGTGGAATATTTAGTAGCCAGGAAATATCACAGATGGACTTATTGCCCAGGTGGCCACCTATCATGGGACCACGCTTGGAGTCACTGAGCTCCTGAGAGCGACCCATTCTTTCACCAATGTTTGTAGAAGCAGTCTGCATGACTAGGGCTTGATTGTATACACCTGTGTCCATGGGGGGGATTGGAACACCTGAATCACATGATATGGAGGGGATTGGAACACCTGAATCACATGATATGGAGGGGATTGGAGCACCGGAATCACATGATATGGAGGGGACTGGAATATCTGAATCACATGACAGGGAGGGGATTGGAACACCTGAATCACATGATTGGGAGGGGATTGGAACATCTGAATCTAATGATTTGGAGGGGATTGGAGCACCTGAATCACATGATTGGGAGGGGATTGGAACACCTGAATCACATGATTGGGAGGGGATTGGAACACCTGAATCACATGATTGGGAGGGGATTGGAACACCTGAATCACATGATTGGGAGGGGATTGGAACACCTGAATCACATGATTGGGAGGGGATTGGAACACCTGAATCACATGATATGGAGAGGATTGGAACACCTGAATCTAATGATTTGGAGGGGATTGGAACACCTGAATCACATGATTGGGAGGGGATTGGAACACCTGAATCTAATGATTTGGAGGGGATTGGAACACCTGAATCTAATGATTTGGAGGGACGGCCCAATACTTTTGGCAATATAGTGTACTTTGTCTATTGATAAGGTATAGCTCCTGGAAGCAGCATTGCTTCCACTGACACCCCCCCCCCCCCCCCAAATTTTAAATTATTAAGACCATTGTGCACAAATCATAAAATGTTTTCATTGTTTTGACGTTGAGGTGATGGAAGGTGATTGGTTGCCATACTCATCTGCATGTGACTGTCCTTTCCAGGACGGGTTCATCAAGTCCAGCTAAATCTGTCCGAAATTACCGACATCTGGACTTTTGTGAACAGTACAATCTTAAAACATTTCTCTTGATCTCTTTGGTTTTGATTCCATATATTATTGGGTTGAGCATTGGAGGAATGATCAGGTACAGGTTGGACAAGATAATTTGGGAGGAAGAAACCGTTTGCCCTCCAAACCTTTGGCTGACAGAGGAGAAAAGTGCCGGGACGTAAGCCAAGAGAATGACACAAACGTGGCTGACGCATGTACTCCCGACTTTGTGTCTGGCTTCTCGGGACGGGAGGTTGAAAACGGCCATTACAATCATGGAGTACGACACCGTAATACATATGAAATCTGCAGCTACAAGTAGAACGGCTGCTAACCCGTATATAACATTCACTCGGATGTCTGCGCAGGCCAGTTTGGCCACGGTGATGTGGTCACAATAAGTGTGCTCGATCAGGTGACTGTTGCAAAATGGCAACCTCTGGACCAGGAAAGGATGGGGTAATATCAGAACAGTTCCTCTCATGGCCACCGCCACTCCAATTTTTGCAATCAATGGGTTGGTCAAGATGGTAGAATATCTTAGAGGTTGGCATATGGCAACATAGCGATCAAAGGCCATAGCCAAGAGGACTGAGGAGCACATGACGGAGAAGGAGTGCATGAAGAACATCTGAACCAGGCAACCCTCAAAGGAAATCTCTTGGAGGTTTAACAAGAAGAGTAGGAGCATCTTAGGGAGGATGGTATTGGACTGGACAAGGTCTGTCACCAATAACATGGAAAGGAAGAAGTACATGGGCTGGTGGAGGCTCTCCTCTGTTCTGATGGTTAGCAGGACACTGATATTGGCCAACAAGGTTATCAGGTACATGAAGAAGACCGGCAATGAAAACCAGACCTGGACATTTTCCATCCCAGGAATTCCAACCAGGATGAAATAAGAGCTCTGATTATTACCCCCAGAAGTCATAACTGTGTTGTGTGCAGGTCCAAGATGTCCTCTTCTAATGTTACTCAGGGTGACAAAATCAGGAAACACTTCAGGGATTTTTCTTCACTATTCTGCAGAAGACAAAACAGATATGAGAAGAGGTGCTAGGCAGGGGCGGACTGACCATTTGGAAACTCGGGCACTGCCCGAGGGCCCGGGGTCAGTAGGGGGCCCCATGAGATGTCCCTGGTACCTTTTTCATAGGCTTTTTTGAGTTTGGGCAAGGACACAGGGGCCCCATGATCCCCTATTTCCCGGGGGCCCCATGATTTGTCAGTCCGCCCCTGGTGCTAGGTATCCATAAAAATGATCAAAAAAAGAACTCTGTATTAACATCTTCAAGAAAATAGACTCTACGGCATTCGCATGTTACCCTTGTAGCACCACCCCCTTAGGAGTTGCTGAAGATTTGGGTCCCCCTATAGTCCTGCACCACAGCCAGGCAGCACGCATTTTCTTCAGACTTGCATACAGGAGACAGTAAACAGTCCTTGAACTTGTTTTTTGGGATTTTATTAGGAGATTTGAACTTGGATGGGGTAAGGGATGTATGGGATGCCCAAGGGAACTGTGGACTGAGGACAAACGCCTTAGCAACTAGTGATGGGCCGAACACCACCCTGTTCAGTTCGCGGTCGAACATCCGAACGGACAGAATGTTTGACCGCGAACTTCGAACACGAACCGAACAACTGAGTGGTGTCTTCCCGCATCTGAGTATGTGGTGCGATCTCTCGCTCAGTGACTACAATCCGGCGGGAGTTCTATGATGAAGTCACGCGATATTTTAGTAGTGAGACATTCATTCATGTTCCTGGCGTCAGTTGGGTTCCTGGTGTCAGTGGGGTTCCTGGGATCAGTGGGGTTCCTGGTGTCAGTGGGGTTCCTGGGATCAGTGGGGTTCCTGGTGTCAGTGGGGTTCCTGGGGTCAGTGGGGTTCCTGGGGTCAGTGGGGTTCCTGGTGTCAGTGGGGTTCCTATGGTGTCAGTGGGGTTCCTGGTGTCAGTGGGGTTCCTGGGGTCAGTGGGGTTCCTGGGGTCAGTGGGGTTCCTGGTGTCAGTGGGGTTCCTAGGGTCAGTGGGGTTCCTGGGGTCAGTGGGGTTCCTGGTGTCAGTGGGGTTCCTAGGGTCAGTGGGGTTCCTGGGGTCAGTGGGGTTCCTGGGGTCAGTGGGGTTCCTGGGGTCAGTGGGGTTCCTGGTGTCAGTGGGGTTCCTGGGGTCAGTGGGGTTCCTGGTGTCAGTGGGGTTCCTGGGGTCAGTGGGGTTCCTGGTGTCAGTGGGGTTCCTGGGGTCAGTGGGGTTCCTGGGGTCAGCGGGGTTCCTGGGGTCAGTGGGGTTCCTAGGGTCAGTGGGGTTCCCTGCTGACAGCTGAATGGAAAAAGAATTGTTGCTATTGTCCAACAATTTACATTTTTTTTCTTTTTAAATAGTGTGGAGTCCCCCCTCCCATTCATACCAAGCCCTTCGAGTCTGGTATGGATGTTGAGGGGAACCCCCATGCCAATATTTTTTTAAAAAAATGGGGGGGGGGGGGGGGGCGTCCTCCCCAAAATCTATATAAGACCTTTATCTGAGCATGCAAGTCAGAAAAGGAGGGTACGAGCAAGCGCCCCCCCCCCTCCAGAATCATACCAGGCCACATGCCCTCAACATGCGGGGAGCGTGCTTTGGGGCTGGGGGGCTCCTCCCTCAAAGCACCTTGTCCCCATGTTGATGGGGACAAGGGCTTCTTCCCCATAACCGTGGTCTGTGGTTGCGTGGGTCTGCAGGCGGGGGGGCTTATCAGAATCTGGAACAAGGGGGCCCCCAGATCCTGACCCCCCCTCTACATGAGTATGTGGTACCGCTACTCATTCATTAAAAAAAAAAAAAAAGTGAAAGACAGGAGACAGTCCCTGACAAGTCCTTTATTAAAAATAAAAAGAAATAAATGTCCCCCCCGAAGTAGATCCAACGTCAACCACGATGGCCGCCACTGCCACTACCCAGAAAAAAAAAAATGCCCCTCCCGCCGTCTGACAGCTGCGCCCGTGATGGCAGTTCTTATATACTGTCATGATGTCACAAGGGGGCGGGGGTTCACCGCCTTGTGGCGTCATCATGCTCTGTGATTGGTCAGGTGCATTGCTTTGACCAATCATAATGCACTGTCAGGACGCAGTGCATTGTGGGGTGCAAAGGCTGACAAATGTGCTTCTGGAAGAATGGTCCAACCTTCCCATAGACACCCTCCTAAACCTTGTGGACGGCCTTCCCAGAAGAGTTGAAGCTGTTATAGCTGCAAAGGGCGGGGCCAACTCAATATTGAACCCTACGGACTAAGACTGGGGGTCCATTAAAGGTCATGTGTGTGGAAAGGGCGGGGCCAACTCAATATTGAACCCTACGGACTAAGACTGCGGGGCCATTAAAGGTCATGTGTGTGGAAAGGGCGGGGCCAACTCAATATTGAACCCTACGGACTAAGACTGGGGGGGGCCATTAAAGTTCATGTGTGTGGAAAGGGAGGGGCCAACTCAATATTGAACCCTACGGACTAAGACTGGGAGGCCATTAAAGGTCATGTGCGTGGAAAGGGCGGGGCTGACTCAATATTGAACCCTACGGACTAAGACTGGGAGGGGCCATTAAAGTTCATGTGTGTGGAAAGGGAGGGGCCAACTCAATATTGAACCCTACGGACTAAGACTGGGAGGCCATTAAAGGTCATGTGTGTGGAAAGGGCGGGGCCAACTCAATATTGAACCCTACGGACTAAGACTGGGGGGCATTAAAGGTCATGTGTGTGGAAAGGACGGGGCCAACTCAATATTGAACCCTACGAACTAAGACTGGGGGGCCATTAAAGGTCATGTGTGTGGAAAGGGCGGGGCCAACTCAGTATTGAACCCTACGGACTAAGACTGGGGGGCCATTAAAGGTCATGTGTGTGGAAAGGCCGGTGCCCAATACTTGGGGAAATATTGTGTATATACATACAGTGCATTCAGAAAGTATTCAGACCTCCTTCATTTTTTTCTATTTTGTTATGTTGCAGCCTGATACTACAGTTGTTTAAATTCATTTTTTTCCTCATGAATCCATCTCAACACAGGATCTCTGGAGCTCGGTCAGAGATCGTTCTCATTGGGTTCTTGGTCAGCTCTCTTTTCCACAGATTGCTCAGTTTGGCCGGGTGACCAACAACTCTTGGAAGAGTCCTGGTTGTACCAAACTTCTTCCATTTGAGAATTATGGAGCCACTGTGCTCTGGGGAGCCTTCAGTGCAGCAGAAATGTATTTGTAGCCTTCCCCAGATCTGTACCTTCCCCAGGTCTGCGCCTTCCCCAGGTCTGCGCCTTCCCCAGATCTGCGCCTTCCCCAGATCTGCGCCTTCCCCAGATCTGCGCCTTCCCCAGATCTGCGCCTTCCCCAGATCTGCGCCTTCCCCAGATCTGCGCCTTCTCCAGATCTGCACCTTCTCCAGATCTGTACCTTCTCCAGATCTGTACCTTCTCCAGATCTGTACCTTCCCCACATCTGTACTTTCCCCAGATCTGCACCTTCTCCAGATCTGCACCTTCTCCATATCTGCACCTTCCCCACATCTGTACCTTCCCCACATCTGTACTTTCCCCAGATCTGCACCTTCCCCAGATCTGCACCTTCCCCAGATCTGCACCTTCCCCAGATCTGTACCTTCCCCAGATCTGCACCTTCCCCAGATCTGCACCTTCCCCAGATCTGTACCTTCCCCAGATCTGCACCTTCCCCAGATCTGCACCTTCCTCCAGATCTGCACCTTCCCCAGATCTGCAATAATCCTGTCTTTGAGCTCTGCAGGCAGTTCTTTTGACCTCATGGTTTTTGCTCTGATACAGTATTGATTGTCAGTTGTGAGGCCTTTTATAGAGAGTGTTATAGAGCTAGTTCCTGCTTGCCACCCCCCCAGCGCACCCTCAGTCTGCCTACTGCTGAGGCATCATCCTGCCACTCTGGCCTCCCCGCTGTGCCTGCATATAGATTCACCCCATGCAGGCTCTACTCACCCCCTTCCCATTCTCCACAGACACGCTCCATGCCTGCCAGAGACAAAGGCCACACTCCCTGTGCGAAGCCGGCTGAAACGGCAAGTTTTGGGTTACCACGGCAACGAGAACACTCCTGGCTCAGCATATAATGCCGGAGCGGGCCCCGGTCTCGGCAGATTTTTCATTGCTCCCCCATGCCTGCTGCTGAGCAAAGTGTGAACCTCTGCCCTGTGCTGGACGTAGCCTGAATCGGCCTGAAACCCTTGCCCTCAGACTCCATCCAACCCCTGCGGGGCCCCGCCACTCTGTCCTATTGAACCCTGTGGACTATCGGCCCCCTGTTGTCCCTTATAGCCATCGTGAGAACTCTACTGTATCACCATAACTTGTGTTGTTCTGTGGACTGGCTGTTCGATTGTCTGCCCCCCAAAAACCTCCCCAATAAACGCCCGCACATTGGGTTCCGTGTGATCTGTCTCCGTGTGCTTCTTTCTGCACTCCTAGTTGGTCACAGAGAAGTATGTGCCTTTCCAAATCATGTCCAATCAATGTAGGATACCACAGGTGGCCACCAATCAAGGTGTACAACAGGCAGCCTTTCTCAACCTCTTTACCCCAAAGGAACCCTTGTAAAAATGCTTAGGTCTCAAGGAACCCCTGCTAGTCCATTGGTGGTCCTTGGGAAAATGGCCCTTACATTGGTGGATGTCTGTGGGAAGAATACTCCCCCTACATTGGTGGTCAGAATTCCACCATTACAGGTATGCCTCTGCATCTGCCAAGTGGTGTTGAACCCAGAACTCACGAAAGGTCAGTTAGCCAGAGCTCAAGGAACTCCTGACCACCACTGGAGGAACCCCAAAGTTCCACGGAACCCTGGCTGAGAATGGTTGGTGTAGAAACATCTCAGCAA